TTACAATTGATTCGTTAACCGAACTTTCCTGGACTCATGACCGGTGTTCACAGCTAATGTGGCGGTTACGAAAGGCACACGTAGTTCTGCTTAACTCTGCTCTGCCATCCGTCACTCTGGTCTTAGTCAGTTTATCGTGACACAGGCGCTGAAGCGAAAGCAGGGTTCTAAGGACGAACGACGTATGTGAACATCTACTTTTGATGAAAGCGTCGCAGTTTTCATTATCGTTTATTATTCTTCCTTATGAATTATGGAAAGCGCATTCACATGATTCTGAAATGATTGCCTCATGCACTTCCTTTAAAACTACGAACGCTTGCTTTCCTCAATGCTGCTGCGATTCGAAACGAGCGACGGTTTAATTGAAAATCGAACAGTCACAAGTACGAGCATTTTTAGGGCAAAACTTTGTATGACATTTGTGCCAAGTAACGACACTCTTTTCAACTTTCGATGTGCCTCGTCACGTCTCGAAAAGTGTCAAGACAAAGCGGCTCATTTCTCGCCATACTCTAATAACGTTCCCCACGGGGACCATAGGCCAGGCAATCGTTGACCAATATGATCTCTGAAAGTGGTCCGTTTGACGGTCGACAAAGCGCTTTTCCTTACGATCACGCATTCGCTTAAGATAAAATGCAGAAATGAGAACTTTCGGCTGCTGTTCATTAGCATATTAAATTTTCAACAACAAACGATGATCGTTTGATAATCACGGTCTATCTTGAAAACTGACTGACTTCGGCATGTCATTATCCATGTGAAGTGTTAACTGTCACACTATCTTAACGAGCAGTGCCCGGAGGTGTCAAACATGATCCATTGCGCTGTTCGTAGACCGAGGATGCTCAGTCGTTAGAGAGCCTGACTCAGAACCGAGTGGCCCCGGGTTCGAGTTCTCCGTTGACGCACGGGCCTTCCTCCTTTCACTAATGATCAAACAGCACCAATCTGTAGGAAGGAAATAGGAGACTACTCACTGTGTTTGCCACGTAGCTGCAGCCGACTCTGCCTTTAAAAAAATTAGGCATTTCTGGCCGAAGGTTTCGAAACGTAGATCAGCGCTCCACCATTGACTTCATAGAACGAAGGGCGCCTGAAATGGTTCAGGTAAGACGATGCTCCAATGGTTACAAAACTTCCCTGTTTCTGCTTTCTCTGTTCGTTTAACATTGAACAGCTGCAACTCATTGCCTCGATCATCATTACCTCATTTATCGATCGTTCCGGGTTAAAGGCAGGTTGTCAGGAATAGGAAAGCATCACCCGTTGCAATTCTCCCTGAATAGGATTCCTTACTTTTACCATAGCACTTTCTCACTTTGCGACAGAGACGCTAAGGCTGAGGTTATGAATAACAATAATAGCATTGCGACAGAATCCACCGAAGAGGAAGTATCTGCGCCTGAGATCACTGTGGAAGACTTCTAACCGGCAAGCTTTACACAGACGTCACCTGAAACCCTTTCAGAACAAGTGAAGGCCAAGACACCTTGCAAGTGTGGGCA